AAAACAAGGTCCATCCTTGTGTGGCGTGTTCAATAAACTATAAAAAAAAAAAAAATTACTTATAATATTAATATCTTGTCACGTAATATAACAAAACAACTGTATAACAAATTATTATGTATTCCATCTACCAAGCAAAAACATTTGCCATCGTATATAAAATAATGGGAAATTAAGCCCGATGAAATGTATGAACTTATGTGTTTTTTAAATCATTATTAATATTATGACTTTAAGCCTCCATAATGACACATTTCTTAATCACATCGTTTTACTACATTGAAATTTATATGTTTTGTTTCAACTTTTTTGTTTTCAAAATATTTTTAGACCCCTTAGCACATTATCTTAACTACGCCCCTTGATCACCGACTCCTCCAACTTTCAATCTCTGTCAGCGCCAAAGGAAATTGTATAAAAACGACAATAACAACTGAAAGCATGGAAGATACACATTTTGTTTTGGGGCTAATAATAGAAATGCAGCCGCAAAAGAGAAAAGTCTTATGATACAAAGTGGTAATGGAGACAACGCCTCCGATATGTGGATGCCCTCCCTTCTGATCCCCGCGATTTCCCTTTTGCTGAGTGCTTTATTATTATGACAATTATGTTTAAGCACATAAAATCATTGGAGAAATATTTATGTGTCTTGTACATTAATCCGTGTTTGTTTTTTTTTTGTTTGAGGGGTGGTGAGGAAGCAAACAAATTTACCTTCCTTGCCTCGTCACCTGTTTGCCACCTGGGCCGCCCCCTTTTCGCACTCCTTTTCCACCCATTAGCCTTGTGAAAAGTTCATTTGCCCCAGCTCATAATTTGCCGCTTGCATGTCAAGCAAACTGAGACCAAACACCACACTCGGATTTCCCTGCTTGTGCGAAGGAGATAGAGAAGAGTGAGCTACACTAAAAAAAATATATAATAATTATGTAAGTACCATATACATTTTTTAAGGAGTACTTATCAAGACTTTAAAATAATTGATTTAAATATAGTTGTTAAACTTTTTGAGATTTTACAAAAACACTGGTGTTGCTTCAGAATATTGAAATTACCATATTGTAAGCGAATTTTTTTAGTTTTTTTTTTATAAGTGCAGAGACAAACGCACTTCATGTACTCTTTCTCCTTGAGAAAAGGAGTTGGGGCTTCTCTCCCACTCGAGTCTATTTTTGAGACATCTACTTGCGTGAGTTGTTTGCGGAGTGGTTCACAGTTTTCAACGGGACAAAGTGGCGGAGTGCGGTGTTGCATATGCAACTGCAATTGGCAACTCCATTGAGGCATCTGCATTTGCACCGGTTCTATGGTATTTTCCCAGGGCGACACGCAATCCAATCTCTTCGATAATGCAACGGCTGCCCTATAGTATCTAATTACATTGTATCGTGTAACAACCAACAACATGCTTATGAAATTGCAATTCGCCTACGACTTCTCAGCATTGGTACTACGTCGTAAAAGGCTAGTTTGCATTTGTTTTGTTTTAATTTTATCTTTTAAATATTTAAATCAATATTCTAAAGTATTGTAGACCAAAAAGCAACTAATAATTGTTTAAGCTTTGGTTATGATTATGAAAGTTATCATGTCATTACATTACTATTGAGATTTCTATTGTTTTAATAAGAAAAATACAATCTATTCTATTCACTTACAACTATTTTTGTAGTGCTTTTTAACTGTCATATACAATAAACAATTATACAATTTACATAAAGTCAACAAAATTTATTTGAACAACTATCTTTTAAATGCTTTTATCCCACTGTGCCTGGTTTCGTGTGTGGTTGTGTTTCAACTGTGATTGAAGTTCCGTAGCGACTTTCCCCCGTTTCCCCCACATGAGCTCCCTCTTAAAACCGAGGTCTCCCCCGGACTGACAATTGCGGTGAGTTGGGCTTTCCGTTTCTGTTTTTGGGATTTGCTCTGGCCTGTAATCTGCAGACCCAGACACAGTTTTTACATTGTAATTTTGTAATTGCATTTTGCAGGCCAGACACACGAAAAAAGGCAATTGCAGGCCCCTATTTCGACCTTTTGGGATGTGCCACACTATGATAGTTTGGCAAATAAATGTGCATTTTTATTGGCAAATTTCTGTGTGGGAATTTCGCTCGCACGAAACTGGAAAATGTCGTTTTTATTTTCTTATTGCGCTCGATGGGTTGCTGATGAGTGGTGAATACATATTGCATGGAGCGATGACTCAATACTAGCGTCAATAAATATTTATATGAAAACCGGCCACTGATAATGCTCAGCTCAGAGATTGAGTTAACTTAAGTGCTCACTATAAGCGACTAATTACAATATAAATAGCATTAATTGATTACAAATTGCTTGGTGAGACGTAGGGTGCTACTAGAGCGAGATAAGAAACGACTTCCAGATGAAAGGCCAAGAAAAATGTGAAAAATCCATAAATTGTAGTAAACCATCTGGGAATTGTGACTCGGCTTGTGGTCCCAATGGAAAATCAATGCTCTGGTCTCTGAAGAAGCCAACAGTGTGGGAGTTTTTGTATGTAGTTTGCAAAAAGCAAAGAAAAGGGGTTAAACAACTTTTTTATTTGACCAATCAATATGAAAATTTGTGTGGAAACTGCATAAAAAAATTAAGGATTACTCCACTTCTTTTTCATAAACATTAGCAAACTTTAAGGGCAAGCGATTTCGAAATCTAAATATTTTCTGCGTTTTCAAAGGTGCCAACAAATAGAAAACTAAAACAAGAAAGGAAGGAAACTTCGGCAAGCCGAAGTGTATATACCCTTGCAGTTATTACAAAACGACTACATTTCAATTTCTATGCCTATATTACTAAAAACAATGAAGCTACGTTTTTATGGCAGCTATATGACATTGTTGTCCGATTTTAATTTAATTAATAATAATTCCATAATATTTAAATATTACCAAATCCCAAAGAACAAAAAAAAAATTAAAAACAACAAAGTTATAATTATTTTGAATTCTTTTTTCCGATTGTTCCTATGGGAGCTATATGATATAGTCGCCCGATCCGACTTATATACTACCTGCAATAGAACGACAACTTTTGGGAAAGTTTCAAGCAGATAGCTTTAAAACTGAGGGACTAGTTTGTGTAGAAACGGACGGACGGACATAGCTAGATCGATTCTCCTGGTGATGCTGATCAAGAATATATATACTTTATAGGGTCGGAAATGTCACCTTAACTGCGTTGCAAACTTTTGACTGAAATTATAATACCCTCTGTAAGGGCATAAAAATGGCTGGAATATGTATATAATCTTTAAAATTTATAAATAATTATCTTTTTATGTAATCCAACTTCTTCTTAAAATCCGACAAATGTTTTTCCGGCACCCTTATGGCAAATACCACTCAATGCTAGGTCCTATTGTGGTAGGACATCGTCGACAGGGACATAAAAAAGATATTAGAACCGGGAAAAGTCTATAAATAAGGGGCGTACAGAAAATGCGGAAAGGAAAATGTTGCAGATTGCCAAGGCAAATAATAGGAAAATATTAGACAAGAAAATAAGGCAAATAAAAATGTGCGTGAAGTGTGAGGAAAATGAGGGGGAGAAAAGTGGAGGAAATGGCAATATGTCAGCGGGGGTGGGATAACGGTGTTTTGGGTCGCAATTTCAACCACTGTGCGGGTGGCAGGGATAAGGGTGCAATGATAGAGGATAGAGGAAAATGTACGACGGATGAAGGATAAAGAATGATGGAGAGCGAACATAAGAACTGAACCCGCCCCAAATAACACAGAAACAACATTGATGCATGCTGCTGCTACTCCTCTTTTCTCCTTTCTTTTCCCCCTCTTTTTCTACAGTAAACAATGACACCGGAAAAGCAACAACAAGTATGAAACTAGCCGGCAATAACAACAATAATTCCCAATATAATCGGAAGCAATAGGAAAAAGAAATTGGCTCAATTGGAAAGCAGCGTGAATAGAGGAAAATAGGGGATAATAGAGAAAATGGGGGGTAAAGAGGAAGCAAAAACTGCACTTTATGAACAATAAAAACCACACTGTGCAGCCAAATAAATCAAAATTTGCATGATATTCACAACAGAGATTTAAGGACATGACCTTAGGAGCTACTTTTATTATTATTTATTTCACGCGCTTTAATTGAAACCCTTTTGCATTGTATGGACTTATTTATTTACAGGACTTATTTATACTTATTTATTATTAAATCTTTCATTAAGTTCTAAAATATTTTAAATTTAATACAAAGAAAAATAATTATTTTTGCCTTAAATTTTATTTTGGGTAAGGTGTGTTAAAACTTCTAATTGAACCCCCTTTTAATTCTGGAAGGATACCACCAGAAAACAAAATGATTTCCTAGCAAATTTACTGATTTACCTCTACTGAGAAAAACCACAATATTTTGTATGCCATTTGTAATAAAACAACAACCATCTGTGCGGATAAGAAGAAAAATCACAACGCTATGATGATATTTACACCTGAGTTGGATGCTGCATGCATTTTTATTTCAGGGAGTATGTGGGTGAATTGGGTTGGGTGGCAAAGAGTCTACACTTCCTCTTGTGTTTTTGATGTACATTTCGCAAATTCAACACAGAAAAAATGGGACTACAACTCAAGCCACCATGCTCAATAAATAAATTTGAAGTTAAAAAAATGTTTTCTATATTTCTAAGCTTTATATTATGTTCAGTTTTTTAATTTAACAAGAAATGCCTTTGGTAGGTTTTTTGCTTAAAATATTATTGGATAAGGGTCATAACTTCTTTCAAAGTTTATTAAAAACTTAAAAGGAGTTAGAAACAAATTTCTGCTTGACAATTTAACACATTTCTGATGTTTGAAAAATTAATTGAACTGGAATGGAGGTTTGAGTTATGGGAGACCGTAATGTTCCTTTTTTGTTCTGTGTATCCTGCATGCTTTTGATGACCGGTTTTGTTATGTGTATCTTACATGCATTTGATGACGGTTTCCAGCACTGGAACTTACCGTTATGTTCGGTGAATATGTTGAGACCCACGGGATTGCACCGAGCAGCATCCTTGTGACCGCCGCTCCTTTGGCTAAGTCCAGATCCAGATCCCCCTGCGTTGACGCCACTGGCTACGCCACCGGACGAGGACTTGATTCGGGATCCTCGGATTGTGGAGCCCCCTCCAAGGGGGGCACTACTGCCGCCACTGGAACTGGAGATGCAGTGAGGGGAGACGGACGCCACTGGACTACTGCTGCTGGACAGACCGATGCAGCTGACGGGGGCACCTGAGCCACCCCCTGAGTGGGCGCCCCTGTCCTTGCCCTGCTGAGCCCCCATTTGCCAGTGGGTGGTTTTCGCTCTTGCGCAGCAACAACAACTTGTACACTTTTCTCTCTCCTCCTCTCTGCCCTTCGTCGGCTCCTCCTTCGGCTATTTCGCTTACTATTACTATTTATTTTTTTCAGCTCTTCTCTTTTGGCTTTTTGCTCAATTATTTGCCGTTTGCCTTTTGCTTTGCTTTAATTTATTTCACACACACACGCACACATTTTTCTTTCTCTTTCTGCGTTTTTGGAGTAGACAAAAAAGATTGGAGACACTCACGCACACACAAATACACACGCACGCAGAAAAGGAAGTTTGCGATTTTTTTATTTGTTATTATATTGGCCGCTCAGGTGAATTTGCGAATTTGCAGCATGTTTGGCAAACTTTGTGTCGGCAAACTTTTTGTCGACGTTTGGGAGGCTGAGGGGAGGGGGGCACAAACACGCCCTGAAAATGCACTTTGTCTTTGCTGCCTCCGCCTCTGGCTCTCTCTCTCGTTCACTCCTACTCGTTCTTTTTTCACGGCCTTATTGATCCGCAAGCGACTGTGTTTGACATATTAATCGGTTTTCGCGACGATATAGCTGTATCTGATCTGCTGGCGTTGCTCCCTGCTTTATCTATATCTGTGCATTTTTTCCACGCACGGCGACGGATCGAATTGGAATCCCACTTGCAATCGTGTGACCACTTCTGTGTCGTTCAAATATACCGTTCTACCGATAGATATATCGATAACAGATATATGTTGAGTATTTTTAAAATGTTTCACAGCACTAGTTGGGTGTGTGACACAACCCAGAAATGCAGGTTGGGTTGAAACTTCACTAAGTGCGCCAGGTGTGTTTCAAATAAAAAAACCTATTTTCCAGTACCATTTAAAAAAGTTCATCATAAGTTCGCAAAGAGAAACTCAAAAATAAAATTTCTAGAGCCCCAAAATCACCATAGATTACTAAATTATCAAGATAATACTTAAATAATCTTCAGTACTTATAATTAGGTATTTCCTGTTTTCAAATTCGCTACTGTTTAGCGATTTCATTTAAAAACGAAATGGGTTACGCAAGATTAAGTTATTTCAGTTTTATTTATTTCCAACACCATCTCAAGTGAAATTTTCACGAGTTGTTGGTTCGAGCCGCGCGAAGTAACTTGTCTTCAGTATCCTCAAGTGTTTCTGCCCTTCGAAAATCACTTGAACATTTTTTAATCAACTGTTAAACTCGATAGGACTTCATTCTGAGCTTCTAAAAATACCCAGTTATCCCGAAAAATAAGTAAAATATAACTTTTCCATCCTTTTCCGTTTTATTTATCCGTTGGTTTTTGTTTAGCATTCTCAATCTTTAGTTTTGTTTTCGCTTAGTTCTTATTTATTATGTATACCCGACAAAAATTTCAAGTTTGTTCGTTTCAATTTCTCTCTCCTGCTAGAGTTCAGTATCAATCGATCCTCCTCTCCATTCACACGATCCACTTTCAGGTTCTGCATCGTTTTTTATTTCAGTTACAGTTTCCTCGTTTTACACTAAATTAACTTTTCAAGTAGGACTTTTGCTTTTCATGTTCTTTGTTTATACTCTTACACATTTTCCGTTCCCTTAAAAATATAAATATAATTTAAACTTTTCTCTGGTTATTTTGTTTGTTGTGTTACGTTCAAGGACTTTATGTAGTTTTTCTAAATTACCAAAAAGCAGCAGGGAGAATGAAGTAATATTAAAATGCATTCAACACAAGTTAACTAAATAAATGCCCCTAACAAAATCGAACCTTTCTAAGCATTATGACACTTATTTAAAACTACACTGACTGATTAGATACACTTTATCTAGTCAGTCAGTAGAATTTTCATCAATCGTCATTTGACTATTACAGATTTTGTTATTAAATACAGATTTCAAAACACTTTATTACTTTACAATAACAATTTGCGCTCTGGATCTTGGAACAATAGACTAACTTATAGTGTTTTGTTATTGGTTGGTAATGGTTTCTTCTAGTTTCACTTGTTTAATATTTCGTTAATATAGGTTTTATAAATATATATGCGTATAGACTTAGAAGTACAAAGTTATCAGACATTTTTCCAGCAGCTAAAATTGAATTCTAAGCCAAGAATGCCAGTTGTGTATATATCACTTATTGAATGATATACAAATTATAGGCAGGAATTTGATCCTTCTTGAGAATTTTAACTAAAATTAGGAGGCAAATCAAAATCCCACCTGAGAAGGCAAATTGTCGCTGACAACGCAAATAAATATCGAACTGAAATCGTAGGCTAGTTGAAAACAAACATAAATTTAAAGGCTGTCAATAATTCTGCAAATTATATAATCTATTCATATACAACTTTGGGCCTAACAACACACGTTTAGGATTGCATAGAGCTGTAGTTGGGAACATATAAACAGGTTCCATAGTGACTATAAAATTGAACCCATGCAAACTAGTAAGCAGCTAAATCTCTTTCTCATCTTCAACATTTCCCTTTGGCTTAGATTTGGACATTTCCAGAGTTTTCAATTGATGCCTGCACATTTAGTGTCCTTAGTCCCTAAACTTCACACGTACACATTTTGCAAAACTGCCACTGCACTGTTTACAAGACTTCTGGCCCCCAGTTACATACCGTTTTATGACTCGACTCTGAATTTTGGTTAGCTTAGTTTCGTCTGTTTCTTATATACATGTTCAGATATATAGTTTGTATGCCTGTTCATCCGGTTCAACTTTTCGCTTACAAATTTAACTCTTTCCCGATCTTCTATCGTGTGTGTATATGTGTTTTGAGTGTGCCACCCAGGTTTAAAATTAAAAAACAACTTGTACACCGCTACATAAATAAATGTCCTTAGCCGTTAACAGGGGGGAGTGGTTGTAATGGGAGTTGGTGTGGTTTTGCTGAACTCCCTCCTTACTGCGCCTTGGTTTTGCGCAGATAGGCGGCCTGATCCTCTCCAGCGCCGATGAACTTGGAGCTCTCCATGCTCTGCTGGGGGCTGCTTGACTGCTTGACAGCATTTTGGGCTGCGAGGGAGGCGGCCATGCGTCGACTCTTGTGGCCACCGGGCGCCAGGTACGCCTTGTAGAAGAAGCGCGCGAACAGGACAAAGTAGCTGAAGTACATGGCGATCGACAGGTTGATGTTGCGCTGAGAGATGTTGCAGGATGAGGTGCCGTGCGTCTTCAGGAAGCCATTGGCCCACACGTTGATCGCACAGCCGATGATCATCTGCGTCAGCTGCAGCGAGGTAATGATCATCGAGATGAACCTGGGGGGATTGAAGCGAGCCGCCTTCAGCGCATAGTAGCTGTACATCACCGAGTGCACGCAGTAGTTCATCACAATGAACCAGCGGGCAGAGCTGGTGTATTCGGTGTAGCTGAACCACGAGTAGATCAGCACAGTGATGTGGTGGTACCTGCATTAGCAAACAATTCAATTACTATACAATTCTAAAACATATTGTGGCTTTCATTGTGCAAAAAATTAAAAGTCAAGATTATCAAACTAAATTAGGGGCAATTCTAGAAAATTGAATAGTGAAATCAGTTTCAAAAATCTGTTATTCTGAATATATTTTTGTTTTCAAAAGTACCCTTCCTTTTTTTAATGAAGCTAATTTCTAATACCCAATTTCATCTACAGTATCTCATTATTAATAAATTAAATTTTTAATAACTCTTATTAAACAAATTTCAATAATTTTTATAATTTCAAGCCAAATGAGTGTGGTTTATGATTAAAATTCCAATTATTAATGCCTTTTTATAATTATTATCCAGACTGATGGGTTTTGTTTTTGGTTAACACAATCCTGTCATATTAAAAGCTCGTTGGTTTACTTACCAGTGCAGGAAGATGAGTGGCTGCTTGCGGAGCACGATGAATATCGTGTCGCCCAGCTCCGGCAGTTTGCTGAGCACGAAGAGCCAGGTCCAGAATCCGCACACGCGATCTTGCTCGATGTAGCTGTGGGAGAATGTTCGGAATATCGGTCAGTGATCGGACATTTGCATAGCATTCAAGTTTCCAGCCTTATACATATCAAGTTCACGAATGCAGGCGATGAACTTGACAATATAAGGCTGAATCGGATCTTGTTCAGTTAGAGAGCGAAACCAACCTGGGCACGCAGACGGAGTGGAAGAGTCCGTAGTGACGCAGCACATGAATCAGCTCAGGCGCCGTTCGGGCAGCTCCCATGATGCTGAACATGGCCAGCAAGGTGTTCCATATGATCAGCGGGCCGCGCAGTTGAAATCTGCAATGAATAATGAAAGGAAACTTTAGCAACACAGGAAAAATACAGAGATTGTGAGATCAAAGTAGTGCTTAAAATTCACACTTGGGGTTTTTCCTTAAATCTGACTTCGCTTACTGTAATTTAAATAACAAAACCAATTTCGCTGAGGTGTCACGTGAATCTCTTTATAGTTTTACGTCGGTTGAATATAAAATTGCTTTGCCAATCTTTAAAAGTCTGAGATTTCCTATGGCAATTGATTTAAAACCAATTTGTATAGTAAAAGGGTTATTAAAGTGTAGCAATTTGGAATAAAGATGTATATCATAGGGGCAGTATGATGAGCTAATGGGCAGTAAATGAATTAATTCAATTTTTGTTCCGTCTATATTCACTTACTCCTACAATCCCCAAACGCAAATTCCCCAGCCAGCACTTAAAATCATTCATATTTACTCGAGGCTAATAGACGTGAAAAGGCAGCGGAAAAAAAAACAGCAAAGATCAACAAACTCTAACAATTTTCAATTTTTCCATGCCTCCGTCCTAGACGAGCGTGACAGTCAAAGATCAAGTATTATTTGCTATATGCACTTAATATGTGCGAATTTTTCTGTAATGCAATGACATCAACCCACAACAATAAGATGTCACAGGGTCAGTCAAATAATTTGCTCATTAGATCCCTTAAATCGTCTTAAAATGGGTAATCGCTTCAAGATTCCACCAGTTGCCAGGCCACATTGAATAACATGCTAGATTCGATCGTCAGATGCAATGGAAAATATAATTATCAATGTCACGACATCTAGTAGATTACACTATAAGTTTATTTTTGATCAGCTGCTAAACAAATTGATAACGAAAGGTCAACTTAAAACAAAAATTCTCAGGCGATCGATCGAATAGAATATATAAAATTGTTTTTAGTCACAGGGCAGACACGTGTATCTAAAAAAGAAACTTCTCCTAAAAAAGACATCCACAGAGTCGCTCTTTTGTTTTGGGTTCTTAGCAAAGAAAAAGTTGCCCACACAAAAATACTGGTTTAGCATTTGAATGGACTGAAACCGTGTTTAATAAAGTTCTTCAAACGAAATTAAATTGAAGCAATCAACCAATTTAAAGAGGTTTGTGCTTTTCGGAACGACTGAATCACTAACTAATTTTAATCGTATCACTCAACGATTTGCCTTAAATTATGAATTGATTCTAATAAGGTTTCCATAATCTTAATTACTAATAGCAAACAAAGTTTACGCAATCAATAGGCTGCAAATCAACCAGCCAACCTTATCGACGGCTCGTTCACGATACTATATATGTGTATATATATGTACATATATTCCATAGCCGAAGTGAAACCTCTTCACGAGGCAATTAGTCATAAAAATTCACATAGACAAAACCGAAACAGTGGAATCTAAAAAAATGTGAGTTCTGTTATCAAAGATAGTTGTTTTTTGACGAAGCACACATTTGATTGCTTTAACCTTTGCCCTGGAAAAAAGTTTAAACAATTTTGGGAAAGAAAACTAAAAAATATACTTGGCTAATACATACTTCAGCAGAAAGTTCGAAAGTTTCGCGAAACACGGTATACAAGTAAAGTGTTTGTTTAGCGCCACATGTTTAGAGCCTTAAATGCGTCAACGGGTTTATGAAAACAGAGCAATCGATAGCCAACAATATCCCCCAAACAAAGCCATAAAGATTGTGTATTTTAGGGCAGTCTAGGGGACTTTTATCGCCGGCAATCAGAATGCTCAATTGAATTCGTAGTTGTGCCATCAACCCCCCAAATAGCTTACTCGAAAATCCAGCTGAGATTTGCATAGATAAGTCCCACTGTATTAGGCAATTAAGCTGCGTTTTAAGACGTGGGAAACAGGGGGAAAGAAGCATTCTCAAAGCGGAAATGTTCAACTAAGGAATTGCGTTCCACATGTGCTCTAGTTGGGAATCTTAAAAAATCTCTTCTATTAATAACAATTAAGCGCAATGCCAGGATAGACCAGTAGAAAATATGAGCTCTGTAAAGAAAAACTTTAAATACCCCTTAACAATAGATTTTGTTTTAAATCTTTATTTACCAAATTAAAAACCCGGAAGTCTCAACACTTACATAACAAAAAAAAATATTTTAAAATTGAAGCATAATTGTATTGTCCTTAATTTAGTAATTAAACTTGAAGTTTAACTTGAGTTTAAGCTGCCTATGGGAAACCTTTAAAAATTAATTTTTTTTTTAATATTTAAGGACAAAAAAAGTTTCCTTAAAATATTCATATCCGAGTTTATTTATTTTACACTACATTTTTTGGTTAAAGAAAACACCTTTGTTCTTATAAAAACTCTTTCAGCCACCCGCAGTACAATTGCAGTGAAAATGTGCCTGTAAAAGCTCTGTTGCTCGCCCAATGGCGGTCCCAACAATTCCCAACTGGTTCTAACTGCGCGCGCATCAGCTTCCACTTGCCGACTGTCTACAATTCGTGCCTCAAACTAATGAGTAAGGAAAACCAAACAGCCTTGCTAATCGCTTGGCAGTATTGGCTTCTAGGCAAAGGGGCGATTTTCGTCCCTTGAAGCTCAATTTTTGCAAGGGCACAGGTCGTCCCCTCCTTCTCCGAGTGGGTGGCGTCCGGCCAAGCGAACCGGCACCTACTTTTGTGCCCGGTAAGTGAGGCTGGATGCCCTTCCTCGGCTGGGTGTTGCGATCTGCCCGATAAAAAATCCAATTATACTTATAAATTGGAGTAATCTTGTTTAAAGTTTTATTTGCTATTAGTTTTTCATTCCTTTTGGACTTCAACAAAATTTTAGTAAGATATCTTTTAAAATGCAGGGAATATCTAAAATTTATTTTAAAACATATTCATAAAATCCAACCGATTTAATTAAATCACAGCTCAGAATTTTAAACTGTTTACAATTGTACAATATTTGCAGCTCTAAAATATGCAAATTTCAAAATGTTTAGCGGGTCAAATGTAATTAAACTGTTTTCAAATCTAAAATTTTTGCAATTCAAAAGTGTAAACAAATTCAATTCGTATATATTTAGTATACGGCTGGAATATATCATTGCAGATACACACATATCTTACGATTAATGAATTGCATGAAATTGAATACAAAATCATAGCCCGGTCTCTCTTATATAAATATTTTTATATGACTTAGGAAACGCAAAAAAAAAGTCAAAGTTCAAAGTTAAATACAATAGGAAAAAGTAAAGTTCGAGGTGCAAAAAAATCAACTTAGGAAACTTGGACTGCATAATATGGTTGCCATAATGGTGATGATGTAGCATTTTTTGCTGGTACAAGGGGAAGTTGGTGAACTTTCTTTTGCTTTCCACTTTGTGGCGAAGATTGCATAAGCAAAGAGAAAGAAATTCGCCGACAAGGAGAGAGCAAATCAGATGTATGGAGAGAGTAAACCTGATTTTGCAAAACATGTAAACAAAACAAAGTGTAGCAAGAGAGAAAAAACTAAAAACCCAGAAATGTTGGTCAATTGATTATTGTACGCTTAGTTTTGGCTTGGGTTAAGCTCAGGTTGTTTAGGTTGATTTATGCAGTATATACATATATTCACTATATGCACACCATTTTTCCAAGCGGTGGTACACTTCCATTTGTATACCTAGCCATATAAATAAATATGTATGGAAATGCGGTACCAAATTCGCAACATTGTCTCGAAACTGATGCGACAGTGTTTTGTTTTTTGCAAACCTTTTTTTAGCGTATTGCAAAACTTTTGGCTTTCTGGGTTTATGTTAAGCCATAATTAAGATTTCGCTTTGAATTCATTTTTAATTATTATTCATTATATTTTGCGGTGGTTTACAAACCCGCGAGATTGGATGTCACAGCATTGACCAAGTTATTTCCGAACGCTTTCAAAGTGCAACGTAAAAAATATTGTCAAAGGTTGGGGCACTTTTACCAAAAGAGTGATTTAATAAAAGTAAAAACAAACTGTTTTGTATGAAACCTTTCTATAAATTTTATAATTGAACATTCGTTTATAAATATATGGAATTTTATTTTATCTGTATAAGCTGCATTAACCGGTTTATTTCCTTAGCATGTCCCGAATTGCTAATAAGGTAATTTTGAATATTGTAATTTTTTTTTTAATTTCCAATTTAATTCTCTTAACTTGCATCAAAAGTAAACCTAATAAGCATACACGCGTTATTAACGATTATCTCAACTCAGAAAAGCTATAATCCGAAAATCGTCTAGCCGAAGCTTATCTGCATAATTGTTTATGATGAATAGGAAAGTTTATTGTGTTTTTGGCTGACTCATGTCTAGAAGTTTGGAGTAGTACAGAATGACACACCTGCTGCAACAGGTGAGCGATAAGATGTCGATACTTAGACATAATTCAATCATCAGAAACCCAGTCAAAACAATTTTGGTGGCCGACAAAAAACGAGTTATTTTTGAGGGAGAAATGGACGCGTGGAGTAAATAAAAATGGGGAAAAGTGGCGTGATATGGAGATGCTGAACTAAGAAAGGGCCGCCAAGAGAGAGCTTTTCATAAAGCTTTATGTTTCGAGTCTCAAAATGGTATGGTATGTAGAAAAATATCAAATCAGCTTCAAAAAGCCTATAGAGATATTCGGTTTTAATGACACACTTTAACAAGATTTGCTATTTAGCTCTACCCACTTTTAACCAACTGTTTGTGTTAACGGTTGTCGTTAATTTGATGTTAATATATGTACATATATGCACACTCATAAGCCGACCAAAATTAAATTAAGTTTCACTTTCAGCAATGCCTTTTCTTGGCTCACCATATACGTCATGTGTTTTCCTTTTCTTATTTATTTTTTCGGCCTGTTGGCGTTTGTAATTGTTAACTAAATGCTGGCTGGTAATATATAATTGTGGTCGTAATTGAAATTGCAATTACAGGTGCTCGTGAAGGGTGGTGATTTGAACTCAACACGGCTCGCCTGTCATTGGAGCAATTATTGGTTAATTCGCAAATTGTTTAATAATTGCCACGCTTCAATTGCAAAAATTTCCCCATATGAACACAAAATATATTTTTCCGACTATTGCAGGACACTGTATATGAGCTAGCGTGATGAAACCACATTAAAGGACATTTTTCATGGGGGTGGAGAAAAAAACAAACGAATTTCGGTGAGAAATAGGGTTCTCTGTACTTAGATGTCCTTGTCACACTTATTTCCTATTGTCGTCATAAAAATATTTATATTTCCTCAAAAGATATGTATAAATAACAAGAAAGGAAAGCTAACTTCGGGCGGAGCCGAAGTTGAAATACCCTTGCAGAATATTCTGCAAATTATATTCTCCAAAATTATTCATATGATGCATTCTTAATACTCATAAAAAATCCCAACTTCCTAACTTTAAAAACACCAAAGTTATGGCATTTCCAATCGTTCAGTTATGTATATGGCAGCTATAGAATATAGTCTTCCGATCCTTATGAAATTTGATATGTCGGATTGATTGGGCAAAAATAAAACCCATAGAAAATCCCAACTTCCTAACTTAACAAACACTAAAGTTATGGCATTTCCGATCAATCAGTTATATGACAGCTATAAGATATAGTCGTCCGATCCTTATGAAATTTGGTAGGTCGGATTAATTGGCCAAATATATAACCCATAAAAAATCCCAACTTCCTAACTTAACAAACACCAAAGTTATGGCATTTCCGATCAATCAGTTATATAGCAGCTATAGGATATAGTCGGCCGATCCTTATGAAATTTGGTACGTCGGATTGATTGGCCAAATATAATACTCATAGAGAGTCCCAACTTCCTAACTTAACAAACAGCAGAGTTATGGCATTTCCGATCAATCAGTTATATGGCAGCTATAGGATATAGTCGGCCGATCCCGGCCGTTCCGACTTATATACTGCGTGCAAAGGGAAGAAGGGTGTGTGCAAAGTTTCAATTCGATATCTTTAAAACTGAGAGACTAGTTCGCGTAGAAACAGACAGACGGACAGACAGACGGACAGACGGACAGACGGACATGGCTATATCAACTCAGGAGGTGATCCTGATCAAGAATATATATACTTTATAGGGTCGGAGATGTCTCCTTCACTGCGTTGCACACTTTTGACCAAAATTATAATACCCTCTGCAAGGGTATAAAAATATGTATGAAAAAAAGCAAGGCCATTTAATGACTCAATCTTTATAAGTTTTGAATGATTACAGAGATCGGTCATTCGCTCCACTGTGGAAATGTTCGTTTGTGATTTCTGTTGTAAGCTCTAGCGCCCACACACTCTTCTCACCCCATTTTATACCGCCCCGTTTTACCCCTCCTTATATGGCCACAAAACGTTTGCACACGCAAAGTCTAAACATACACCAGCCAGCAAAAACTTTGTTTGTCGGCGGAAAACATTCAAATATAGAGAATATTTTATCGTCATTTGTGATTATTATTATTCAAAACTTCCATAATGCACTGAATAAAATGTTCTAATTTAAATTATACTAATTGTTTGTAAATAAAATCAATTAATCAACTGTAAGTTCCAGGGCATGTGCTGAATATGTATATGGTATTGTTGATAAGCGTCCGAGAAGAGTCATCGTAAATTATGTTATGGGTAATATATGCAATGATAATATAATCAGTGGAAGTAGTGAATAATGATTTTTTCTATTTAAATCACTTATAATGCCCCTACCATTTTGATTTGAATTTTTATTAAAAAAAAAAAAAGTAAGCTACCCATTTATTTCAATTATATTACTTATACGGTCCCTAATTACAATAATAATAAACCAATGTTAACTAGTTTTAGCCTCTCAATATTTTGAATTAGGGCTGTTTTATTATCGGCTTTAAAATCGTAAGGTAATTACTAATAAATTCCATTAGAAACGCAATCAAGTTGTCTAGTGTACACTGTCCATTTGAAGTGGACCTTTTGGGCGAGTACATAAGTGAATGTCCTGCTGTCCGGCAACTTTAGTTCAGCATTATTCCCTAAGCCCCCGACATTGTGGACACACCCACTTCTTGCATGACATGCCATGTGGCCATGCTGAACTTTGTCCGTTGGGGTATGTTAAATAAAACGGGTACGACATGGCGTGTACCTATAAACCTAATCAATTTAATGAATTTAATGACGCACTGTCCGAAATGAAAAAAAAAAATGCACAATTTATATGATGAGGAAGTGCACCGAGTGCAAGAGTTTAGTTCCACTCTAAAAATATGTAAATAACCGTATATCTAAGCCGCATACTCGGTGGCATTCGGTTAAGTACATGTACATTTGTCATTTGCGGCACCTTATACAACATTCCTTATGCATTTTATTAAAATATTGGCATATTCAAACACCACCCTTAAGCAAGGTGAATTCAGCCCTTGGACTCTGCTTTAATTTGTTTAATTTATCTTTTTACCCTATTAGCGTAAAAGTGACCACCTCCAAACGTTCCCCAAACTCATTTCCATTGCCGTTTCATTACATTTACACCTTTCTGTGCCAAGTGCATAACGACTCTCCTTCATTTGGGTAAATACTAAAACGAGATTCCATAAATTTCCAAGTGTAAGGTAAAGTTAACAACAATAACAAATGTCCACAGAGAAAACTGCCAAGCCCCTATATTCCAATGAAAGTAGGCTGATGTGTGGGCAATGGCTGCTTTAAAATTTATGATACATATATGTTTCTTTTAAAGATAATAACCAAAAATTGGTTGTCTTATTTTTAGCTTAAAAAAAATGTTTTTTGTTCAAATAATAATCAAATAAATTTATATTTGTTAGAAAAATGTTTACATAGTATGTATAGTAAATAGAGAGTTTAGAGCCCTATTTATTTTCTGACTTAGTAAAAAAAACTATTTTCATTGAAATAATACAAAACCTGTTTTCTTAACAAATATTTTTGTGCTTTTTTATTATCCCAACAGAAAATGAAACACTTTAAAACATAAACTTTTAGAGTAAACTTTGCAACTTTGTACCTAGCTAAAGCGAGACCATAGGTGACAAAATATGATCTCCCAAAAAGAAAACAGGCTAGAATAGATGGCATGTCACGAGCCCAACTAAATTTGGCCACAAAACCCGATGACGACAATTAGAAAGGGGAGGCAGAAGAAACGCAAACAGCAAAACAAAAGTAGACAATTGTCAGCACGGAAAGCCAATTGAATCCATCACAGGTAAATCAGGTAGGTAACAAGTGACAATCGTGTTGACAGATCAAAAATGAACAACTACAAAAAAAAACCAAAATACTGCGAAATCAAACGTCTTTGGATATCGGAAATAAAACGGAATAGTGCATGGTGCCATTGTTTGGTAATTGAGATTATGTTAAGGATCCACCTTCGGCATTAGCGTTTGATTAGCTATAATTTTATATAATTACATGTAGAATCCAACAGCTGTCTGTACTTGGACTCCAGTCATTCCGGAGAATAAACTTAAACAAAGTGCGATTGAGTAAATATGGGGGTTTCCAGGGATTGGTTTTGATAAATAGAAACTTTTATACCAGCTGCGATGGGCGTGTGTACATGTGGGTGTAATTAGTGGCGCTCCTCAGCTGCCCGATAATACTTCTCAAGGTTCCAAGGGCAAAAGTTCTTAGCTCAACCATAATTTTGCAGAGTTGGCAACCAACAAAGAGCACATGTTTTTGATCGGTTGACATATGGGGAATATAGTCTATATATGTACCACTCACCTCGGCCGATTTTGCATAAAGTGCTGACCACCGAATATGACCAGCATGTAGATGCCGCAGTAGTAGAACACCCATGTCCAGTTCTCCAGCATCCATTTCCGTGTGCGCTGGTGTATAAAGTCGTTCTCGAAATCGAAGATGTACGAGTAGTTGGGCGTAACGCTAATGTCCATGTTGATCATCTTGGTGGGTTTAATGTGTTGCGTTGGTGGCTATGTTACGTAGTTTCTGAGGGGTAAAAAAAGGAATAGATCAATTAGATTTGAGAGCTAGGAATATTTATATTGCCGAGAAATTATGAGGATTTAAATACATACAAAATTTTATAAAATGCTAAACAATTTATATAATAATAAAAAAAAAAAAATTAACTCATGTCATCTATGTACATTCATTTCCTTAGAAAAAACTTTGTTTATATACTTTGTCAATCAGATGTACAAGAACAGGAAAAGAGATGCATTAATTAGGATATGAGACAAATAGTTGACTTCAAAGATTTCCAAGTTATACACTGTTTTTAGTTTTTGTGCTTACTAACTTACTGATTGCCATATCTTATCTGTTCTCTAAGCAAAGGGATTTTACTCGACTATGTTTAAAGCTAAATTCAGTAAAAATTCCGCACCACTCCCCTTCTGCTTACGCACGCACACACACAGGGACATTAAAGCGCGCGTTTTGTCGCATAAATTTCTCGGCGACCTTCCTTTCCCCTTCGTCCCGCCACCACACCATCTCTCTCTCTCCACTCTTTCATTGATTTTGCTAAACAACACCGCTGGTCCATGGAGACAAGGCTCTCTTTTACTCTCTGTGCCTCCCCCACAAAACTCTCTATCTCACTCGCTCGCTCTCTATGGGATGTGCATTGCATTCATGAATGGCGCACGCTTTGTGGTCATCTTCATCTACATTCTTCCGCTTTTGACACCTCGTGCTGAAGCTCAAATAGATACACAAACAACCTGCTACACAGAAAAAAAACTCAATAATTAAAAGAACAAATATCTGCCTCAGATTAGAAAATCTGTTTTTAATTCTCACCGCTGCTTAGGGAATTCGAATATTTTTTGGAAAAATAAAATTTTAATTGTTTTATAATTTGGCTTTAACATTTTTATTTAAAGTTAAAGTTTATGTATGTAAAGTCGCAACAAAAAGGAACAAACTTATAGCCGGAAATAAAATAAAAATTCAACCCAAAGTCTGAACAAACGGATTGTTCAACCGTCTTCTCAGAACTCTTGCCCACCGCTGAATTATGCACATTTTTCTGGCTGTGTAGTGGGCGGGGGTGGCTGTAATAGATGGTGTGATTGTGGTGGTTTCAGGAGAGCGCCAATCTGGCGCTCGCTCTCTTTCGCGCTCTCTCTTTCGCCACAAAGTCTCGTGTGAATAAAAAGAACTCATAAGGAATGCATGCATAAGCAAACAGCCAAATCATTTGAAACGAAATACAAATGAGGCGGGCACAATTTGCCGGTGAAAGAAAAATTAGTTTGAATGCTTAATTGTATGCCAGACACGCGACTAGGGCACACACACTTTTACGCACTCTCACTGGCACACACAGGTGATTTCGTTTTGTTGTAAGCTACGCTTTGGAAGCTCTTTTTGTTGTTTCTTTCTGAGTAACATATCCGGTTTTTTGCGCGAGCGCTTTCAAAAATTTCTAGTGAAATTTTTTTCGGGGCACTTAGCGGTTTGGATTTTATGCTTCCAAAACATCTCGCCTAATCTCTCTCTTTTCCTCTCTTGCAAAAAACGCGATCTTTTAGTTTTGCTTGTTTCTGAATCGATAAAATACACAATTTAATCAGTAAAAGTATGAGAAATACACTCTCTCTCTCTCTCGCAGCATCGGCACAAAAAAGGGGGGCGCAAAATAAGGAGGAAATAAAACCACCACAGAAATCATGTTCACGCACTCACACAGATATCACAGAAAACACGGTTACTATTTTCGAACGGTTATGGCTATGAGGTAATTACTTTTGCTCGCCGCTCCTTATCGCAATATCAATTGACTGGATCGCACCACTCACGGCTGTGCACACTTTTCCCCCAGCAATTCAGCAAAACTCGAAAATCTGTTCCTCGGATTCGCCGGCGCAAAGCGAAATGAACGGTTTCGCTTGCGCTTGGTCGCTATATAGAGGTGGAGAAACATCGCAGCTAACATCGATACCATCGATAAGCTATCGATACACTTTGGTGTCTCCGCTAACGGTTGGAGACTCAGCTACCGATGCTAATATTGTTGCTTCCAGCCCTAACGTGATATTTTAGTACCTTTACAAATTTCAGTATTTGTTCCAACTTAACATTTCTGTAATTGAAACGTCCATTCTGTATAACAGTAACGTTTTACTTTGAATTTGAAAAACAAAGAAAACGACTTTTGCTCTTAATTTAAAACAAATGTTTTGTAGAAAATACAAAAACAGGATTCCCAGAGAGGTTTTACCGAACAGTTTTACCATTTACCATCTATTGTAAAATTTAGTACACAATGAAGCAATAATTCAATTTTTTATATTAGGGGGTGTGGTTTGTTTTTATTATAAATACTATATTCTGATGGAGTTTACACAGTAGTTGAAAGAGTAGTGAAAGCATTCCTTGAGAGGCTTCTTCTACATCCTTGCATCTAAATATATTAAAGCGTTTAACCTGGCAACGTATAACCTACAATGCCTCTACGATCTATGGTCCTACATGGCTACTTAAGTCATATCCTACTAGATCACAGTTGGTGGGGGCTGTGGAAGCCCCCCTTATTTTTATTGAGAAGCTCTCTGATCTGTTCCCAGATCAGAGCTAGAAGAGACCCGTGCTGGACACATTCTCCGATAGGATCATCTTCTGGACGTCGCAGAAGACGTCTCGGATGCACCTCGTTGAAGTGGCGACGGTGAAGTGGTAGTAGCACTCCCTTTCCGAGGTGCCCAGATCCACCTGGTTCCGCGAGTGGCGCTTGAACGGCTCCTGGGTGATGTCCACCAGCTTCTGCTTGATGAACATCTTTGTCCAGTCGCTCTCGTCGAAGCAATTGTCCTGCTGCGGCCGCTTGCAGAACTCATCGTACTCGGGAAAGTAGTCCACAATGTGTTTTCCGGCCCGGATCTTCCGCTCCATGATGTCGTACTTGTTGAGGAACACGATCAGTCCGGCGGAGGCGAGGAAACGGTTCTGCCACACGGCCCGGAACAGTTTCAGAGCCTCCTGCAATCGATTCTGGCTGGGATCCTCGCGCAGATTCTGGTCGAATTCGCTGCATGAGATCAGGAACAATACCGCCTGTATCCCCTCGAACACCTGGATCCACTTATTCCGCTGATCCCTCTGGCCGCCGACATCATACATTCGGAACTCCTGTTCGCCACCACCCATGCACTTGGGAATGGGCACACGGAACGTGATCTGTGAGATGCCAGTGGTTATCTTTCGGCTGTGCAGGATGTCCTCGGTGCTGGGTATGTACTCAGCATCACTGATCCTCACAAAGTTGTCCAGGAAGCTGGAGAAAAAGCAAGAACAACTTTAGTAACTTACGCAAAACTATTTTTATTTTATTGTAATTTTAAATAAAATTGATTTAAAATGTATCTTTAATTGATTTGGTTATACTTACTATTTAGCGCTATCCAGCAGGGGGAATTCACTCGAGCGATCGTAGCAGGCGCGAATGCCCACATCGTTCCACAGAGTAGTGACGTGGTCACAGTACTCCTAAAAATATAGAGAAAAGTAACCCAAATCTTAGTATTGTTTATTATAAACTGATAAAGGGTACATCAACTTTTCAACGGAAGTTTGCAGAAGCCACAGGAACAGACAAATACAAAAGCTAACACGGTTGTAAAACTGTCTAACTGTCTGGCTAAAATCTCTCTTTTTGCAGTATATATGATATAGGTCCGGTATCACAAAACTTTCATAAAAATTACGTGCAGAAATGATATGGCACACTGAAAAGATTATCTTTGGAAATTGCAATTCATAAAAATGTAGGTCTCCAATATGAATAGATTAAAATCATTAGACATACTTTTATTTCTGGCTGATATTAATATTCCTTTCCAAAGAAAAGTTTTAGTACTTTTGATCGTAACCGGTCACGTATTCAAACAGGTGTCATAAATTGGGTGGAATATAAAGGGGAATCCAAACATCGGTACTATTTATGCTCCGTATTACTCACTGGCAAAACATAAAACCATGAATGACTGGCATCAAGATCTTGAAGCGCCCCGCCCACTTGGAGTCTTGAACAACCTTGGTAATCTTATCGTAAGTCATATAATGACCACTAAGTAGAGGTAGATATATATATTTTTGGGATAGATAGAAGAGATTGTGTGGCATGAATCATATTTAAAGGTCGCCGCAGCTGCGGTAAACTTGAAAAAAGAATACAAATAAAACCAAAAGTTGGGCCAGGAAGTCCGATTTACAAAACACTTGCTCGGAAAGTTTTCAGGCATTCCACGCCGCCTAATGGATGGGCTATCAATCAAATCGACGCGCCCAGATAACGAATATTCGATCGAAAGCCGCTAGAGATTTGACGCAAGTCCCAGGCGACTTCAAAGTCGTTTGCCTGTATTTTCGACCGACTACAAGTATGTATTTACCACTGCGACACCACGACAACAGAGTTTGAAGTGCAGCAGCGAGGGATAAGATACAGATAGGGATACTTGACGGGTCCGAAACTCACCTCATTCATGTACTCGGGGGCCAGTCCGGGCAGGGAGAGGATATAGTCGGCCGATCGCTCGCTGGTACAGCTGCCGAAATCGATTCCCATTAGTCCCATTTGGGCCACAAGCTGTAGGATCGATTCGTGGATGTTCTGGTATATCTCTGGGATCTTCTCGCGCCGCTCACTGCAAAATTTGGGAAATGGAGTCCTTGAGTATACTCGAAAGAATATTTTCCACGAATCAGATTCATGTTTCCCATTATCACAATTTCTTTAATATTTTAATCAAAGCATTTGTGATAATTGTTATCAAAACATTTTTAATCATAATTATTATCAATACATTTTCAATTATTATAATCAAAACATGTTTTAATTTAAATAATTTAAAAGATTTATAATTGCCAATATCATTTAGATACTTAAATATGATAAGATAAATATATATAGTATTCTTGTTGACACTTACTCGTCGGTAAATCCATTGATATGCAGTATGCGCATCTGTTTTATGATGGTGGTTTTGCCGGACTCGGCGGTGCCTAGCAGCAGGATCTTGACGGTGGTATCCCGAATGCCCTTGGGCATGTCCTTGAGCAGATGGTGGTCATGGACCGCCTGGAGCTGATCCTCCTTTTGGCCAGTCACCGCTGCCGGTTTCGCCGATTGCTGGCGCAAACACCGCAAAAGTCTGCATGGCGAAAAGAAGAGAAAGCAAATTTACTTAGTTTGTTGTTTGGCTGGCGACTTCTAAGGAAAAACACGCCGATCAAGGGTCTATATATAGTCAGGGATAAATATTTGCTTACACCCCAAAGACCGTCACCCAACCCACAACTGATGTATGTTTAATTAAAAGCACACAGAAGCCAGAGACAGAGAGAGATACGAGTACGTGTACTTTTTATACTATTACGGGCAATACGCAATAGATAAAACCGGAATGGACCCGATTTGGAGTGGGAAATCGGAGTTTCCAGGGGGGATTTTGTCTGGCAAAAATGAGACGACGCGTTGCCGGCGGCATTTCAAATACGTATTGCCAATAATTTCGAACAGTTGTACAAACTTTAATTAGGTTCAGGGTACAGTGCGTTCAGAAGCATTGAAGTTAGTTGAAGATTGGAATTAGCAAACAGGCAGGAGTATTCAAAAATGCATACTAATTGCTACTGAGCAAAGTTATTTGCAATGTCATCCCAACAATGCAGGAATTGTTTACTTTGAGTTTATATCAAAGTGTAAATACTTAAAGTCATTAGTGAGTCATTACAAAAGTTGCAAGACATAAAAATGCAATTATCGAACTTTATTGACGGTAAAATTCATTTTTAAGGAGAATAGTTATTGATATAATTGACTAAACACAAATAAGTTGGTTTTTCGAAAAAGATCAACACTTGAAAAAACAAGTGTAATTCAATTAAGTTCTTAAGTCGCAAAAAGACATAACCATTTAGGTATTTTATTATTAAGCTGGTATATAACAGATTCTCAAGGAATCACTTCAGGCAAACAAAAAGTGTCAAGTTGAAAACCAATTAAAAGCAATTAGAGAAGCTATCAATGTGGGTCCATTATCGTGTATTTGGGTTATTGGGACTTTGATTGGATCACGTTTAAGATATCGCCAGACATCATACCGCATTCCAGACCAAAACCACAACAGCCAATGATTCGGCAATTTAGTTAACTGACTAATTGCTCTAATAGGAACCGTGGAAAAATTTCGCTAGCCCCCAAATGGACGCACTTTGCTCTAACTGGAATTATATCGGCTTTATTCGAGTCATGTGAAAATCATTCACTTCAAGAAATCGACTGAGGGGGGAATCGGGAAATGGGGCTGGGCGCTTGCAATTTTATGACAGGCAATTCTAATTGGGCGATTGCCAAAACTTAGTCAAGACCATTGGCTCTGGCTGGTTCTCGATTTCCAACCTTATCGACGGCGCCCGCCACTTTAGATACGAACCGCTCCTTATCGAGCCACTGCTCTCACTTCTTCCCACAAATGATGAAACCCTTCGTGTGGCTGACTTAAATGGTGCATTCTGCTCCTTTTGACCATAACCATAGCCACCAATTTTACGATTCGTTTATAAAAGTTAATCATGAATATTTCCCACAATTTTGGTGGCCAATCGAATCAGGAACAGTTTGGGAATTTTTGATGAGTATGGCTATCTTTACGGTGCCGACTATAACTTCTCACTTGATTTTAATAGGGCCTAGTAATTATTTATGAGCCAAGTATTTATGGCAGCTTACAACAAAGAAAAATAATCGAATCGATGTCCATTGAACTCCTCCCAATCGGCGGATAGCAACAAAAACCTTTAATGCCTTACAAAGTTTTGCTCGCGATTGGCGAAAAACAAATAAACATTGGGTTGCGTGACAGCTGCCAAATGGAACGT